TTCTGTATGTAAAACTATAGTTATTCTCTATAAAATGTATTTTTGTTAATATTTTTGGGTGTCTGGAACGGATTAATTGGATTTACATTATTTCTCATGGGAAATGTCGCTTCAGTTTTTGTCGAATTCGGTTTTCGTCAGACTCTCTGGAACGAATTAAAGATGAAAACTGAGGTTCCATCGTATAGTAGTTGAAAACTCAAGCATAAAGACTACCAAAAGCCTGACTGACCAGGTTGCCAACTAGACAAGACTATCACCAAAAATTCCAAGGTAATTATACCATGGTATAATTAAACTACAGGTGTGTACTTCACTATTTCCAGTGGTCTTAAATCAGACCTCCCAATTTACAAATTTATCAGTTGGGTTGTTACTACTTGTTGTACCAGGCAGATGTATACACCACTGCCCATCTAATAGAATATCCTTCAGGAACTTACTAGGTTAGCTCTCTTGAATGCAGTTATGGGTCTATTGGTAATAGGCCTCTAAGTGAGTCTATCTAGTTTACAAAGTCATTATTAAAATAAGGTTTAACCTTTTAGTGCTCCCAGAGTTATTTCATAGGATCTCCCTCCCCCTCCCATCCCAACCCTGATTACAGCAACGCTGCAAACTTTTCTCTTCGACCAACTATGTCCCAAGTTCTGCATACTTTTACAATTCAGGTTAATTACACAGACTATGGAAAGATTAAAAAATGTCAAATTCCCTTAAGTGTCCAGAAGCGTGTACGAGAAATTCTTCCAGTTTGTTAAACTATTTATATAAATGATACATATATAGCAGTAAATGTATATAGTAGGTTGGTAGGTACTATCATGAGTATAAGAAAAGGAAGCCAAATAAACATTTCACACTGGTATGACTACTGGTTATTACTTTTCGTCTTAAACTATGACGGATGAATCTTTCAAACTTCTACATACATTCAGCATACCCTTATCTTCACTTTCTTGCACTTTCCCAAAATATTTCCTCTTCAATTTAGGAGGCCTAGTCTGAGTAGTTAATCAATGAAACAACTATGACAAACTTGCTAATACAGAATTTGAGGAACTTGTCAGGTTCCCGTCTAAAAAAATTACACATTTATTGGAAATTACCCTTGTTTGATTGTAAGACAAAGTCTTGGACAAAACACAAAGATTAGCAAAGCTGTATTCACCTTTGTCAACTAGTTTTGCAGACTTCTGATCTTGATACCAATCATACCTACTCTTGAAATTGTGTAAGGGGTTTGCTCCCATCACCACTGTTTAATTCTACTTAACTACCACTGAGCCTGAAAAACCATTCTAACACCTTTGTGTGTGTGACCTAATTCATGGTTGCATAAATAACTCACTACGATTGTGACCAGATACAAACATGTAAATAGTTCATTACCACTAACTTGTTCAGCTGTCAAAACTTTGCGGCCCAGTCCGTGGACCCATTATGTACCACTGTAATTTTTTGATTACAACCAACAGGATAGATATAGGGTGTATAATAAAGATATTAAACTAACACCTCAACAGTTTATCTGCATCTACCCGTCATCTGCCTCCCCTGGATTCTTATCCATACATTTTGAACAGTATGTCCCTTTCAACCCCAATCCTGGAGGATTTTCTGTCACGATTATATTTCCATTCATTCTCCCACTTTTTTTATTGGTTAGGTTAATTGCCTTAAGACTCTTGTAGACCACATCCCTCAGTTCCAGTACCAGTGTCTTGTAAACCTTATAGTGTTTCTTTAGTTCCATAATGATGAATGCTGAAGTTTATTTAGGCACAGGTACACAAGCACAATTCTCAGTGTAAATTACCTAGGATAACCCAAAAAAGTCTGATTTATTTCCACTGGGATCCTTACTTACTATTCATGCAGTGCCTGGGAAACAATGGGGGTGAGTCCTTTTATCATGAGCCCTTCACCAACATCAGGGCACATCTATTCCCATCCTCCTGCTGCTGCAGCAAACCTTAAAACGAAGTCTGCCGGCATGGACCAACTGACCTGCTGCAGTGCTCCTCCACACACAATTCTCAAATGGGTATCAAGTGAGCCATCGCCAAAATGGTAAGATTCTGTTGTCAAGAGTCTGGACCCCCATTGGAAACAAGTCACTGATTATTTTTGGGGGTTATCCTAGGTAATTAACACTATGTATGATAATTGTACTTGTGTGTACCTGTGCCTAAATAAACTTACGTATATGGTGTAACTGCCTCTACAAAATGTCATCAGAGCAAATCTTCCTGAACGACTAACCTGGCCTCACTGAACTGCATTTTTTATACGCCACTGTGTATACTTCTTTCTTAGATGTCTATGTATTAGGACTGCTGAAGCCACTTATGGTGAAACATTTCTGTTAATGTCCTGAACTGTACAATGGAAATAAGTTGCTTACCCTTTTGGGTTATCCTAGATAATTTACACATGCTAAACTACATATAATTGACAAATGTCCTCCACATCATCATACCCCGTTACTTTCACTTACCTGATTATTTTCCTGCGTTCATTTGGATGGTACTGTGAAGCAATATCCGGGTCAACTTCCTGTAATCGGCGATACAACTCCTCGGTAGTAATATCCGTGTCTTGCCATGCAGCAGCACACTTAACTGGTACTTCATCACTATTACTTTCACTTTCTCCCTCTACCACTTTTTCCACCATTTCAACTTTACTTTCCCCATTCTCAACTTTATCACCTCCCTCCTTGATACACTTAACACACTCCTTTTCTTTCACATCTTTACCATCCTTACCACCTTCCCTTGCACTATCACTTGTAGCACCACTTAACTTGCTCTTTTTTAATGTGCACTGATCATCACTTTTCGAATTTCTCTTGATATTTCCATAAATTTCTTTATCTCTTTCGTAAACAAGCTTAGAATTACCTTCCTTTCCACTCGGCACAGAATCTATCAGGACATTCCACAGTAGACTCTCGATGTAATAATTGGTGCCACCAACAATAACAGGTATTTTATTGTTGCTTAGCAACTTTTCCACCAGAGGAAGGGCAACATTGCGGAAATCGGTAACACTGAAGCGAGACAGAGGATCCAAAAAATCCAAGATGTGGTGAGGCACCTGTGCCTGCTCCTCTGGTGTCACCTTATTTGTGATAATGTCAAGCCCATGGTAAACCTGAAAGGAAGAGAAAGCAAGGTAACTTCAGTTTCATGCACTTTTTGTAGAACATAAGAACATAAACCAGCAGCACACTGCAGGCCTACTTACCCATGGTAGGCAGGTCCAAGTCAACTACTGGCCCAAGTCACATCCACTCATGTATTTGTCAAACCTATTTTTAAAACTACATGCTTTAGCTTTAATGAAGTTACTTGGGAGTCTGTATAAACTGTTTACGGTCCTGTACTCTTAATTAATACAGTGGACCCTCGACCAACGATATTAATCCGTTCCTGAGAGCTCATTGTTAATTGAAATTATCGTTAGTCGAGTTAATTTTCCCCATAAGAAATAATGGAAATCAAATTAATCAGTGCAAGACACCCAAAAGTATTGAAAAAAAAAATTTACCACATGAAATATTAATTTTAATACACACAAACTGAAGAAGATATGTACAATTACATGACACTTACCTTTATTGAAGATCTGGTGATGATTGATGGGATGGGAGGAGGGGAGACTGTGGATGGTGTTAGTGTTTAGAAGGGGAATCCCCTTCCATTAGGACTTGAGGTGTCAAGTCCTTTTCCGGGGTTACTTCCCTTCTTTTAATGCCACTAGGACCAGCTTGAGTCACTGGACCTCTGTCGCACAACATATCTGTCCATAGAGGCCTGTACCTCCCGTTCCTTTATGACATTCCTAGTGTTTCAAAACATTGTCTATGTCACAATTAAACACTTGTTCAGGTTTCAGTTCTTCACTGTTTATGTACTCCTTGAATTCCTGCACATATTCTTCAGCTGCTTTTTGGTCCAAACTGGCAGCCTCACCATGCCTTATCACACTATGTATGCCACTACGATTCTTAAATCTCTCAAACCAACCTTTGCTGGCCTTAAATTCACTCACATCACCACTAGTTGCAGGCATTTTTCTAATTAAATCCTCATGCAACTTTCTAGCCTTTTCACATATGATCGCTTGAGAGATGCTATCTCCTGCTATCTGTTTTTCATTTATCCACACCAATAACAGTCTCGCAACATCTTCTATCACTTGCGATCTCAGTTTCAAAAACATAGTTGCACCTTTGGCAAGAACAGCTTCCTTGATTGCCGTTTTCTTGGCCACAATAGTAGCGATGGTTGATTGGGGTTTTGTGTACAACCTGGCCAGCTCAGAGACACGCACTCCACTTTCATACTTAGCAATGATCTCTTTCTTCATATCCAAAGTAATTCTCACCCTTTTTGCTGTAGGGTTGGCACTAGAAGCTTTCTTGGGGCCCATGGCGACTTATTTTGCAGGTGCAATCACTAAAAACGCTGTGATAATATGAAATGTTCCGATTGTATGTTTGGATGCGACCACAGTGGCTGGCTGGCTTGTAAACACTGGCCACAAGTGAACGCATCTCAGATGGAACGAATCGTGTTGGTCGAGTTTTTTAGCGCTAGTCGAGGCAAAATTTTTGCGTTAAAATGTATCGCTAGTCGGATTTAACGTTAGACGATGCCATCGTTGGTCGAGGGTCAACTGTACTATTATTACAGTCCATTACTATTATCCAAAATTTAGAATTTTTGCATAATGCTACAGTTAATGTTAATGCTTTTATAGTATAAATAAAGTATAAGTAACATTAGGGTCCAATATAAAATACTATTTTATGCCATTTAGCTTTGGCCCTGCACAAAACTATTACTACAACTACACAAGAAAAAAATGTTCAACTCAAGCTCGCCAAACATTTTTAAATACTTTACGGAAATTTGTGTGATGAATGATACTGTTACTTCAAATATAAACAAATATTCATCTATAAAAAAAAAACTACACAGTATTGATTATCAAAGACAACAGTTCAGTATATCAAAAAGATTGCAGAATGCCAGTGACTTCATTGATGTTACCAAGTCATCGACTGGTCAGAAGTCTGGCAAACAAATTTCTTATAAATCTAGCAAGGCATAAACTTTACACAACCAAACCTAAAATCTATCAAAATTATGGCAGATGAATAAGACATGTGCATCAGTTTAGTGTCTATTGACAAAATGTTTTGCCTGCTCAACAGGCTTCTTCAGTTGAAATACAGACAACACAAGTAATGGAGATGTAGATAAGGCAAGATATGTTCGGATTTTTAACTGGGGGAGGGTTAGCTACCCATGATAACCCATGAAAGTCAGCGCATCATCAAGGGCTATGTCTTATTTCCACTGGGGTCCTTCAATCTTGTCCCCAGGATGCAACCCATACCAGTCGACTAACAACCAGGTACCTACTTACTGCAAGGTTCAAAGGGACAGCAGGTGTAAGAAAATACACCCAACATTTCCACCCCATGCCAGGGACTGAACCAGAAACAGTGTGAAGAAAGTGCACTGCCAGCTGCACTCGCTCACCTTGGTGTGCTCAGTCCCACTGTTTCTATCAAGTTTTGATCAAGACTATGGTGCTACACCAATGATGCTTTAATGAAAATTTACTTTAATCAATAATTGTAATGAAGTCCTTGAGGAATAAAATTAATGTATCAATATTTTACTTTAACATCTTTTTATTAACTTCTAAATGCTCTATTTACCTTCATAAGAACATTTCTCATCACTATGAATTTTCATCCATCTTTACATGTTTTCCAGCGCATATAAATTTAATTCTATGTGATGTTCCAAGTTATGATATTTTGCACTGATGGCACTGGCATACACAGAGCTACAGCTAGGTCAAGACAGTCAATGCTCTCTTGTCACTGTTCAAAGGTTTGAGTTTCCAGAATTTCACAAATACACCTTTTTTTTTAATATTAATGAACTGAAAAATATTCAGCGAAGGATGAAGAAATTTGTCCCATTTACCAATAATCTCTCCTACAAAGACAGGCTAATTGCACTGAATCTGCATCCTGGAAACATGCACTATTTAGGGAGATGTGATTAAAGTATGCAAATGAAAAACAGGAATAAACAAAAGGAACATAATTAATGTGTCAAAAATACCTAACCAAGAGAGTAGTTGCAGGAATGTATTAAAGATGAACAAATTGAAATTTAGAAAGGATAGAGAATTACTAGTTTGGCAATGGAGTTTTAGGTGGCTGGAACAAATTGCTAGGTAACATCATTGGGCATGATTCAGTGAGATTTGAACTTGCCAAGCATGGGCCAATAGGTCAACTGCAATGTTCCTTCATTCTTATGTTCTTATATTAATAGGAAGCACTAAACCCATAGGGGTCATATATTTCTTGGTGAAAGAGGTACTGCTTATGTTAAGCTTGATCCAAGAAAGGGAAGGGTAGCTACAATTCCTTGGATCAAAACCCTTCAACCAGAATCAAGATAACCCTCTTCAAGGGCTACAAACTTGAGAAATTACATACCTATACCAAACCAGGGTATCTTTATTTGATAAGGTTTTGCAACCAATAGCTTTTTCCTAGTCAATATAGATATTCAAGTTACTTTAGGTACAATTACACACGTTTAAGGTGATTACACATCTAAATTACCTAGAATAACCCATTCCCAAGGTCCTTGTAATATACTAATATTAACAGCTATTAGAGTAGAAATCAGTCATGACAAAAGATACTCAGGTGTTGAACACCTTGTCGGTATTGTATAACCATTATTGTAAAGGAATACAAGGTATAATAACCAAGTAAATGCGCAGAAAGTAAATTATATGGAGCACGTGTGGCTGTGGGCCGGAGTGCATGGCTGTTGCTGTGCACACTTAAAGCTGCTATAGCAGACGACACCGTGCACCTTTGTGCTCAACACGCTTTTCACATACATATTTGATCCCTGCTGTAATGTCTCGCGTTATTAACAAGATGAAACATCCATCCTGACATCCACTATGGCACTTATAATTAACCTCCCCCACCACCACAAGCAACATGGAGACACCATCACCGGCACACCACCTTAATGAACCTCGTCCCACCTAATTCACCTGACCTCCGTCCACTATTTTCTCCATTTTCCCCATGCTTTATATTAGACTGCTCCCCTCCACTGGGCGAAACGTCTCCTAATAAATGTGGTAAGCTTTGCATACGTATCTTTATTCTCCTTGTCTCGTCTCCGCCATCACACTCGCCATCACACACACGTACACGCACCTCACTTTAACCTCAATTTATAGAGTGAAACACTAGCTTACCTGCATGGAATCCGCGCTGATGATCTCTCCTTTAAATGTGCTAGCTATCTCCAACGCTAGCTTAGATTTTCCCGTGCCTGTAGCGCCTAAAACCACGACAACAGGGAGACGACTGACCCGTGCTGTACCTGCTAGGATGGAAGCCATGTTGACTCAATCAGCTGATCCAGGGATCCCACCACCACCCGCTTACACTTTAATATCCCTCGTACACACTCTACAGGGAAGGTTATGTATTGAAAAATTACACTCGGCCATTAAGAGAATTATCATGATTAATGCTTGGATAAATGAGTCGGGATAAGCTGTGAAATGAGCGGAATAAATGGTTAGTTTACAAGAAAGTGGCATTCCTGCGTTGTTGCCAGACTGTCCAGGTGAAGAATTGAAGCACGTGGAGCCACGGCCTCTATGACCCCCTCAAACTAACAAAGACACCAGAGAAATATCATTTTATTTACGGGAGAGGGGTGAGATAAACCCGTATAGGTCATACAGCGTCAGGGAAACGAGAGACACTCGGTTTCAATCCAAGGAAGGGGAGGATAGGGCTAATTCCTTGCGTCTGTTTACTGCTACTGTGTCCACAAAGTCCTTTTCCGATTTGTTTTAAATAATATATGTTGGTGAGGGGCTCTTGATTTAAGGAATTGGATCTGTGCTCCAGTTCCCCGAATTAAGCCTGAATGCCTTCCACATCCCCCCTCCCCTGGGCGCTGTATAATCCTACGGGTTTAGCGCTTCCCCCTTGATTATAATAACAATAATTTAAATAATATAATAATATGGTAGAAAATATAGTGTACTGCATAAGCTAGATTAATTATCGTAACATGAAGTTCCTTGGATTATGAACTAGGAGTAAAAACTCAATTAACTCAAATTTAAAGGACCCCAATGGAAAAAAGTCACTCTGTCTGACTTTTTTGGGTTATCCTAGATTCTCTACACATATACTGCTATGTATGATAATTCTATGTAACTGTATTTGTGTATACCTGAATAAACTTACTAATTTTCCCCACCTCCTTCCATATTTACATGATATTACGTTTCTACATATGTATTTTGTGTCATAAGACTAACACAGTCGAGTTACAGTCCATCACAGCTGTACATGTTAAGGTTACATTTATTTATCAACTGTGAAGGTATCTTAAAGCTCTATTAGTTCAGCTAATATGTGCTAAAAATTATATTTTCATATCTGTTATATTTTTTTGGTAAAATAAAATTGAAATCGGAAAAGGACTTTGTAGACACTTCTGCTCCGAGAGTAAAAAATAAATAAATAAATATATATATATATATATATATATATATATATATATAATATATATATATTATATTATATATATATATATATATATACGTACTTATAGTTTACTTTGACCATTATATTTGGTATGAAAATGTTCTTGATTTGTAGCGTTCAAACCATATCCAGGTACACATAAATACAGTTACATAAATTATCATATATAGCAGTATATGTGTAGATTACCTAGGATACCCCCAAAAAAGTCAGTCAAAGTGACTTATTTCCACTGGCGTTCTTGGTCCTTGATAAACCTTAAGCAACAAAAAGGCACAATACCGTGACTGGAACAATACACAAATAACCCGCACATAGAAGAAAGAAAAACTTGAGACTACGTTTCGGTCCGACTTGGACCATTTACAGTCACACTGTGACTTTGGAAATGGTCTAAGTCGGACCGAAACGCCGTCGTAAGCTTCTGTCTCTCTCCTATGTACTGGGTTATCTGTACCCGAAAAACCTTCGTTAGCAGTGTATAATATTCCAGTAGTTAAATGGAGGGTGTTCTTTCTACTCCCAGGACCAGTCATAGTCTCGTGATGCTTATCCCTAAGTAAGTTTATTCAGGTATACACAAATACAGTTACACAGATTATCATACATAGCAGCATATGTAGAGAACCTGGGATAACCAAAAAAACGTCAAGGGCTGATACATTTACATTAATCTCCTTAACTAGTCGTCTTTGTAAAATATTTGAAAGAACGATACTTAGGAGAGAATACTACAGAATCAGTCACCAACTTTCACTTCAAGTAGAAAGTGCACAGAACTGCATTTCCACCTTTCTCACTGCACACATTTTTACTAGTTTTATCGTATTTCTTGATCTAAATCTGCATTTGATATCGCAAACACTTCTATATTACATGAACTAGCCAAAATGGATACTGGTGGTAACCTAATCAGTTGGATAAAAGGACATCTGTCAAATATAGTATCTTCTGTCCTCCACTAAGGCTTTAGAAGCAAATCTTTAATTAAGAAGTGTCCCTAGGTACACCGCAGGGAGTTATCAGTCCCATGCTAGTTAATGTTGTTATTAATGCTCCTGTAAATGCTGTACCTGCCTTACTTAAACATATATAAGCTATGCTGATGACATCATGATCCATACAACAGGATATAATAAGATGAGTACCATTCTTAATGAAGTTCGGGCAATTTATAATCGATTAGACCTCATCATATCTTCATCTAAAATAAGATATTAACGTACCCTTCAATAAATCCATCATACCATAACTAAATATGTACAGATAGGCTAAATGTTCTCAGAGCTATTGTTGGCTACAACCCATTTATGACGCTAATGTGAAACACCGAGAATAATAAACATAGCTTTTGTATTTAGTTCTACTGTCTTCTAATTATGTCCTAGAATCTGTATTGATAAAGCCACTGGATGGCGAAACGTCTACAATAAAGATAACCAGATGTTGCACATGTGTCTAAACTTTCATAGCTTATATAAGATTCTTGACTGATTATACCGGGCCCCATGTTAATGTTGGCTAAGGATAATTCTCTCCGGGCCTTGGAGCTAATGCAAAATGAAGCCCTCACAATTATTCTTGGCTGTTCTGAAACTACCAAGGTTTTTATGAGAAAGGATCTTGGTGTTCCTAGTATCAGTAATAGGATTATCGAGATTAACATTGTACTTGGTGTTAAAATGTTAAGATACGAAGCAGACATTGTCACTATGAATCTTACTAAATGTCTAGAAGTAAATATACATAAATCTAAATGAGTTGTGAAAACATGTTATTATATTAAGTTTCATAACTTACAAGAACTGTATCACTGTAGACAAGAACATCTCACCCCTCCATGGAAAATATGTTCATTTAATATCACATACCTGCAAGCCCATACTAAGCAACTGCTCAAGAAAAATTTTTCACATATCTGTTAGTAATAATATATTACAAATTATATACATTAATGAATCTAAGCAGGAGTCTACTGCAGTTATGCATCTGTTCTTGTTGTCACCTCCCTAGCAAAAAACAATAGCAACTATGTTGACTTAGGCATAAGAAATAACAAATGGGTGTCTACACTACAAATTGAATTGTTGGTCATCCTTATGTAAACTGATTCTATGTCGTCACTGAAGGTTCTCGACTCACATAATGAATGACAACCTACTCACTGGAGAAACCAGATGCAGATACGCAAAAATCAGAGGAAGGGGAATTAATGTAAAAGTGTTATGGGTCCCAACGCACATTGGATTCCTACTTCATGATAAAAGTTGATGTGTTAGCCACAGAAAGCACCCTGAAGGAAAATGCAGAGTATAACTTTGGTATATCTGTGTCTAACATTAGGAATATTAGGAGACAGTAAATAATGACAGTGAATGTTATAGGAATGCAGTTAGAAGCCTGAGTAGATCTATAACCCACTATGATAACATAAACGTAGATAAGTATGTTTATGGAGCAACTTGCAATGTGAACACTAAGTTGTAGTGGCCAGGCGTAGGCTTGGTTACAAGTACTGACTGATGTTGTAGTGGCTAGGCTTAGGCTTGGTTACAAGTACTGACTAATGTTGTAGTGGCTAGGCTTAGGCTTGGTTACAAGTACTGACTAATGTTGTAGTGGCTAGGCTTAGGCTTGGTTACAAGTACTGGATGATGTTGTAGTGGCCAGGCTTAAGGCTTGGTTACAAGTACTGACTAATGTTGTAGTGGCCAGGCTTAGGCTTGGTTACAAGTACTGACTAATGTGCATGGCCAGGCTTAGGCTTGGTTACAAGTACTGACTAATGTTGTAGTGGCCAGGCTTAGGCTTGGTTACAAGTACTGACTGATGTTGTAGTGGCCAGGCTTAGGCTTGGTTACAAATACCGACTCATGTTGTAGTGGCTAGGCTTAGGCTTGGTTACAAGTACTGACTAATGTTGTAGTGGCCAGGCTTAGGCTTGGTTACAAGTACCGACTAATGTTGTAGTGGCCAGGCTTAGGCTTGGTTACAAGTACTGACTAATGTTGTAGTGGCTAGGCTTAGGCTTGGTTACAAGTACTGACTAATGTTGTAGTGGCCAGGCTTAGGCTTGGTTACAAGTACTGACTAATGTTGTAGTGGCTAGGCTTAGGCTTGGTTACAAGTACTGACTAATGTTTGTAGTGGGCCAGGCTTAGGCTTGGTTACAAGTACTGACTAATGTTGTAGTGGCCAGGCTTAGGCTTGGTTACAAGTACTGACTAATGTTGTAGTGGCCAGGCTTAGGCTTGGTTACAAGTACTAACTAATGTTGTAGTGGCCAGGCTTAGGCTTGGTTACAAATACTGACTAATGTTGTAGTGGCCAGGCTTAGGCTTGGTTACAAGTACTGACTGGATGTTGTAGTGCCAGGCTTAGGCTTGGTTACAAGTACTGACTAATATTGTAGTGGCCAGGCTTAGGCTTGGTTACAAGTACTGACTAATGTTGTAGTGGCCAGGCTTAGGCTTGGTTACAAGTACCGACTAATGTTGTAGTGGCCAGGCTTAGGCTTGGTTACAAGTACTGACTGATGTTGTAGTGGCTAGGCTTAGGCTTGGTTACAAGTACTGACTAATGTTGTAGTGGCCAGGCTTAGGCTTGGTTACAAGTACTGACTAATGTTGTAGTGGCTAGGCTTAGGCTTGGTTACAAGTACTGACTAATGTTGTAGTGGCTAGGCTTAGGCTTGGTTACAAGTACTGACTAATGTTGTAGTGGCCAGGCTTAGGCTTGGTTACAAGTACTGACTAATGTTGTAGTGGCCAGGCTTAGGCTTGGTTACAAGTACTGACTAATGTTGTAGTGGCCAGGCTTAGGCTTGGTTACAAGTACTGTCTAATGT